ACCCCCAGCAGTAGTGTCCGTGTCAGCAATAATACATGTCCCCAGCATTGGTGTCAGTAACTACAATAATAACCCTCATCATTGGTGTCAGTGGCAGCAATAATAACCTCCAGCAGTAGTGTCAGCAATAATAAATATCCCCAGCATTGGTGTCAGTAACTACAATAATAACCCTCATCGTTGGTGTCAGTGGCAGCAAAAATAACCCCCAGCACTAGTGTCCATGTCAGCAATAATAAATTTCCCCAGCATTGGTGTCAGTGGCTACAATAATAACCCTCATCATTGGTGTCAGTGGCAGCAGTATTAAACCCCCAGCATTGGTGTTAATGGAATAAAATCCCCCAGGCAATGGTGTCAGTTCCCATTGCCATAACCCTGAGGATTGGTGTAAGTGGGGCTACTAGTACAAGCATTGGTGTCAGTGGCAATACTATTTACCAGCAATGCAAGAGGGAATTCCCCCTCCCCATTGCAATGCTGGTAAATGGCAGTACTGTTGCCCCACGCCCTTGCATTTCTGGTAAGTGCCAGTTTTGTAACCCCCATCCCATCAAGGTAATTGGCGGCAGTGCTGCTAACCCCCCACCTTGCATTGATGGTCACTAGCAGTGCTGTTAATTCCCGCATTGCTGTTGGCACCCCTCCCCCCCCCCCCCCCGCATTGCTGCTCAGTGGCCAATACTGGTAACATTACCCCGTGGCATTTGTGGTCAATGCTTTCTGGATTATGTGCTCTTGTATTACTCACTCTCTCCTCCTGCCTGGACTATACTTGTACCGTCAGGTGGAGATCACTCTCTCTGCCCCATTACTACTGGTGTTCTTTAAAGTGGTTGTAAACCCTTACATATACCCAGTGAAGTGACTGGCCCCAGGTGATACTTCTCTTCTCTATTGCCATTCAAAGTCCATCATTTATAAAGCTTGTCAGAGCTGTCAGAAAAAAAGGGGTTCAGATCTGATAGTACACACTGTAGAGCTAAGTGAGGAGAGCTCTGAGAGCTGATTGGAGGGAAAGAACACACCCCCCTGCACACAGAAACAGAGCTGAGGCCAGGGGCGGACTGACAATTCATGGGGCCCCTGAGTAATAGGGGATCATGGGGTCCCTGTGTCCTCGCCCACAATTCACACCCAAAAAAAGCTTATGAAAGGTACCTGGGGCATCTCATGGGGCCCCCTACTGACCCTGGGCCCTCGGGCAGTGCCCGAATGATCAGTCCGCCCCTGGCTGAGGCTGTCAATCACTGGCTGTGTGCTGCCTAGGGCTCCCTGTCCTGTCACCTTTTCCCTTGGTGTCAAGAAAACGTGTCAGAAGTGATTCATTCTGATAACAGAGGAAGGAGGCAGCAAATTGAAATGACATTTAGTGCTCTGGAGAGAGACAAGTACACACTTATAGAGGGATGTGCTTTGTTCATATTTCATGTCTGAGGTTTACAACCATTTTTAGTGCTGGGTGCTGAAACAAAGATCGTGTAGCAGCACCCGACATTCTGCTACCAATCTATACCGAGTGGCAGACCCAACCCAGGGCACGGTGGGCCACACACAGAGAGCTGGTGGGCTGAGTGTCATTTTTCCCATTCAGGCCGTTTCTGCTCTGCGACCAGAGCGCTGCGCCTTTTTATAAATCTTTTCTGCTCTTTGCTTCTCTTTTGCCGTCGTAGTCTATCAGCTCTTAAGTAGGTACTGGGATAATCTCACCCTCTAAGCAGCAATTTAAGATTTGCATATATTGGTGTGGAAATATAGAATGTCCTGGATTTAACCAGCTCCAAAAAATTAACTATTTCCGAACCACTTGTATGACTCATCACCATATATTTATTACATTGTCTGTATTTTTGGATTTACATTTTCGTTGTTTTTTTTTTTCCCTGCCACTGAAATTGCTTTCTGTGGAGTGAGCAGGGGCGGACTGACAACTCATGGGGCCCCTGGACAATAGGAGATCATGGGGCCCCTGTGTCCTCGACCACACTCAAACCACACCCCAAAAAGCCTATGAAAGGTACCAGGGCATCTCATGGGGCCCCCTACTAACCCAGGCCCTCGGGCAGTGCCCGAGTTCCCAAATGGTCAGTCCGCCCTTGGGAGTGAGTTTTGTAATAGTGTGTTTGGGTAATCTGTGTCCGGTGTACCTACCGTCTGCTTATGATTTTTCCCTCCCCCCCCCCCCTCATCAACATTATTATGAAAATTTAAAATATCTTTCCATTTTCATTCTATACCATGTCATCACTGGGTCTCTGTGCTTGTGTATGCAATGCAGGCAGATCATGGCTGGTGGGAGGGGCTGGCAGTACTCTGACTGGTGGGAGGGTAATCTGTGTCCAGCGTACCTACCGTCTGCTTATGATTTTGCCCTCCCCCCCCCCCCCCATCAACATTATTATGAAAATTTAAAATATCTTTCCATTTTCATCCTATACCATGTCATCACTGGGTCTCTGTGCTTGTGTATGCAATGCAGGCAGATCATGGCTGGTGGGAGGGGCTGGCAGTACTCTGGCTGGTGGGAGAGGCCTCAGTACTCCTTTCAGGAGCCCTCAGCCCTGATTCAAGCAGCAGTCTGGCTTTTGGGAGGAGGTATGCAATTATCCAAATGCCTTGATGGATAGATTTCAGTCTGGAGTAGTGGGCATTGCAAGGCAGACTTCATTTGCACACAATCTAGGTAACACTTGGGGGGGGGGGAAGAGCTAGATGATGCTGGATGTCCTCCAGCCAGGAAAAGAGACTACCTCTATCTGATTTAAAGCACATTCCACTGTGGACACTTGCCTGGCGCGGACATTTTCTCTACAGTTGTGGCTACGAAACAGGAAATGAAAGGAAATCTCTCCATCAGGACAGAGATGGAGCAACAAAAGGACGTGATTGGAGCATTCTATGCAGAATGGACGGGAAAAGTTGCCAGGAAATGTCAACTCAACTGCAAAGGCTCCTGGGTAACCCCCTGCAGAAGAATGTCCGTTCACGCATTTGTCTTGAGATCTGGTGACACTCTGCAATGCCGGGCACCTCTGTCAATGATCCCCTGCAGGAGCATGAAATGTGCGTCTCTTCCACGCGGCCAGTCTGTAAGGACGCATTTAGATCAGAGGAGCGGCAGGGCGAGGGATGGGTGGCATGGCTGTAATGCCGGAGCTTTCATTGTGCCGGGCGCTGAAATAAAACTTTGTTTCATGGAGTTATATAAGAAACACAAGGATGTGTAGGATTGGCTGGAGGCGACGGCGCCCACGCGGTCAGCATTGACAACATTCCGTACACCGAGCTGTAAAATACCGAGATAATGTTACCAAAATCCGATTCATATCAAAAGAGGCGCGAGCTGGCCGCTGTTTGGAAGACGTCTCCCCCCGAAAACAATGGCTGGGGAAATATTTGTATGTCCTCCAAGTGACTGCCTGAGCAATGTAATGCTGTATGGGGGTACGGAGAGGTACAGAGTGCTGTATGGGGGTACGGAGAGGTACAGAGTGCTTTATGGGGGTACGGAGAGGTACAGAGTGCTATATGGGGGTACGGAGAGGTACAGAGTGCTGTATGGGGGTACGGAGAGGTACAGAGTGCTTTATGGGGGTACGGAAGGTACAGAGTGCTATATGGGGGTACGGAGAGGTACAGAGTGCTGTATGGGGGGTACGGAGAGGTACAGAGTGCTGTATGGGGGTACGGAGAGGTACAGAGTGCTATATGGGGGTACGGAGAGGTACAGAGTGCTGTATGGGGGTACGGAGAGGTACAGAGTGCTGTATGGGGGTACTGAGAGGTACAGAGTGCTGTATGGGGGTACGGAGAGGTACAGAGTGCTATATGGGGGTACGGAGAGGTACAGAGTGCTGTATGGGGGTACGGAGAGGTACAGAGTGCTGTATGGGGGTACGGAGAGGTACAGAGTGCTGTATGGGGGTACGGAGAGGTACAGAGTGCTTTATGGGGGGTACGGAGAGGTACAGAGTGCTGTATGGGGGTACGGAGAGGTACAGAGTGCTGTATGGGGTAACGGAGAGGTATAGTGCTGTATGGGGGTACGGAGAGGTACAGAATGCTTTATGGGGGTACGGAGAGGTACAGAGTGCTGTATGGGGGTACGGAGAGGTACAGAGTGCTGTATGGGGGTACTGAGAGGTACAGAGTGCTGTATGGGGGTACGGAGAGGTACAGAGTGCTGTATGGGGTACGGAGAGGTACAGAGTGCTGTATGGGGGTACGGAGAGGTACAGAGTGCTTTTTGGGGGTACGGAGAGGTACAGAGTGCTGTATGGGGGTACGGAGAGGTATAGTGCTGTATGGGGTACGGAGAGGTACAGAATGCTTTATGGGGGTACGGAGAGGTACAGAGTGCTGTATGGGGGTACGGAGAGGTACAGAGTGCTGTAGGGGGTACTACGTGAGAGGTACAGAGTGCTGTATGGGGGTACGGAGAGGGTACAGAGTGCTGTATGGGGGTACAGAGAGGTACAGAGTGCTGTATGGGGGTACGGAGAGGTACAGAGTGCTGTATGGGGGTACTGAGAGGTACAGAGTGCTGTATGGGGGTACGGAGAGGTACAGAGTGCTTTTATGGGGGTACGGAGAGGTACAGAGTGCTGTATGGGGTACGGAGAGGTACAGAGTGCTGTATGGGGGGGTACATGGTGATACATGGCGGTACATGGTGATCCAGAGTGCTGTATGGCAGTACGGAGAGGTACAGAGTGCTGTATGGGGGTACGGAGAGGTACAGAGTGCTTTATGGGGGTACGGAGAGGTACAGAGTGCTGTATGGGGGTACGGAGAGGTACAGAGTGCTGTATGGGGGTACTGAGAGGTACAGAGTGCTGTATGGGGGTACGGAGAGGTACAGAGTGCTTTATGGGGTACGGAGAGGTACAGAGTGCTGTATGGGAGTACATGGCGGTACTTGGGGGTCAGTGGGAGGAACGCTCCTTACATTGGTGATCATGTGGGAAGAATGTCCCTTACATTGGAGGTCAGTGGGGAGAATGCCCCTTACATTGGGGGTCAGTGGGAAGAATGTCCCTTACATTGGGGGTCAGTGGGAAGAATGCTCCTTACATTGGGGGTCAGTGGGAAGAATGTCCCTTACATTGGTGGTCAGTGGAAGAACGCAGCTTACATTGGGGGTCAGTGGGAGGAACGCTCCTTACATTGGTGGTCAGTGGGAAGAATGCTCCTTACATTGGGGGTCAGTGGGAAGAACGCAGCTTACATTGGGGTCAGTGGGAGGAACGCTCCTTACATTGGGGGTCAGTGGGAAGAATGCTCCCTACATTGGGGGTCAGTGGGGAGAATGCTCCCTACATTGGTGATCAGTGGGGAGAAACGCTCCTTACATTGGGGGTCAGTGGGGAGAACGCTCCTTACATGGGGATCAGTGGGAAGAATGTCCCTTACATTGGTGGTCAGTGGGAAGAATGTCCCTTACATTGGGGATCAGTGGGAAGAATGTCCCTTACATTGGTGGTCAGTGGGAAGAATGTCCCTTACATTGGGGTCAGTGGGAAGAATGTCCCTTACATTGGGGGTCAGTGGGGAGAATGCTCCCTACATTGGTGATCAGTGGGGAGAACGCTCCTTACATTGGGGGTCAGTGGGGGAGAACGCTCCTTACATTGGGGATCAGTGGGAAGAATGTCCCTTACATTGGTGGTCAGTGGGAAGAATGTCCCTTACATTGGGGATCAGTTAGGAAGAATGTCCCTTACATTGGAGGTCAGTGGGAAGAATGTCCCTTACATTGGGGGTCAGTGGGAAGAATGTCCCTTACATTGGTGGTCAGTGGGAAGAATGTCCCTTACATTGGGGGTCAGTGGGAAGAAATGTCCCTTACATTGGGGGTCAGTGGGAAGAATGTCCCTTACATTGGGGGTCAGTGGGAAGAATGTCCCTTACATTGGGGGGTCAGTGGGAAGAATGTCCCTTACATTGAGATCAGTGGGGAAGAATGTCCCTTACATTGGGGGTCAGTGGGAAAGAATGTCCCTTACATTGGTGGTCAGTGGGGAAGAATGTCCCTTACATTGGTGGTCAGTGGGGAGAAATGTCCCTTACATTGGTGGTCAGTGGGGAGAATGTCCCTTACATTGGTGGTCAGTGGGAAGAATGTCCCTTACATTGGGGGTCAGTGGGGAAGAATGTCCCTTACATTGGGGGGTCAGTGGAAGAATGTCCCTTACATTGGTGGTCAGTGGGAAGAATGCTCCTTACATTGGGGTCAGTGGGAAGAATGTCCCTTACATTGGGGGTCAGTGGGGAGAATGTCCCTTACATTGGTGGTCAGTGGAAGAATGTCCCTTACATTGGGGGTCAGTGGGAAAAATGTCCCTTACATTGGGGGGTCAGTGGGAAGAATGTCCCCTTACATTGGGGGTCAGTGGGAAGAATGCTCCCTTACATTGAAGGTCAGTGAGAAGAAATGCTCCTTACCCTTACATTGGTGGTCAGTGGGAAGAATGTCCCTTACATTGGGGGTCAGTGGGAAGAATGTCCCTTACATTGGTGGTCAGTGGGAAGAATGTCCCTTACATTGTGGTCAGTGGGGAGAATGTCCCTTACATTGGTGGTCAGTGGGGAGAATGTCCCTTACATTGGGGGTCAGTGGGAAGAATGTCCCTTACATTGGTGGTCAGTGGGGAGAATGCTCCTTACATTGGGGGTCATGGGAAGAATGTCCCTTACATTTGGTGGTCAGTGGGGAGAATGTCCCTTACATTGGTGGTCAGTGGGGAGAATGCTGCTTACAATGGGGGTCAGTGGAAGAATGCTGCTCACTTCTGAATAGAAAAGCCTGTCCCTTGCCACCGTTCTGCATCCTCATCCATTATGCATTTGAAAAGCCATAACTGACGTTCCTGCACATGGAATTTGAATGCTGGAAAAGTGTTGTGAAGAGCCTCTGTAAGCCGGAGAAGCTGCATCCATACAAATGTTCATCAGGGTGTATTGTGATCAGCGGCGTGCGGGGGCCGCAGTTCACTTTCTAGGTGCTCTATGCCATATCCCCCCATCAGAGGGAGCCTGGCGGGGGATGGTAATTATCAGCGGTACTACATAAACCCCCCTTTTTATCAGATTTCACATCAAGGACGGGTTCATTTTACACTGTAGATGAGTTTTTACTAATGATAAAAAGAATGAAGGAAAATTCCAATTTACTGTTATTGTACGTTGAAAAGCCGTCCTGAAATATTCAATACAGCCAGACAAAAACTTCACAAAACCGCTCATTTATAATTCATCTTTCTTTGCCAATAAAACCGGGCCTGACAAATTGTCCGGGTAGAGAGGCCGTACAGCACAGAGCTCTGCAGGCCCATCTAGAAGCACTGTGAAAAGCCTGCTGAGTTTAGTTTCCCAGGTGTCCTGTAGTCCTTGTCCTAGAGTGACCATGCTGATGTTCCGTGGATGCAGTACAGTGAATGAGTTTAGCGCTTCTAGGGACAGGACTACAGAACACCTCCCTCTCCATTACACAGGCCTTAGAGTGACCATGCTGCTCTTCCAGAAATACAATACAATACAGTAAACTTTGTCACTCTAGGACAGTACTACAGAACACACCTCCATCTCCATAACACAGGTCTAGAGTGACAACTCTGCTCTACCAGAAATAAATACAGTGAACATTGTCACGCTAGGACAGGACTACAGAACACCACCCTCTCCATAACACAGGTCATAGAGTGACCATGCTGCTCTTCTATAGATACAATACAGTGAGTGAGTGTAGTCATTCTAGGACAGGACTACAGAACACCTCCATCTCCATAACACAGGCCTTAGAGTGACCATGCTGCTTTTTCAGAAATACAATACAATACAGCCAAAGTTGTCACTCTAGGACAGAACTACAGAACACCTCCCTCTCCATAACACAGGCCTTATAATGACTGTGCTGCTCTTCCAGAAATACAATACAATACAGTAAACTTTGTCACTCTAGGACAGCACTGCAGAACACCTCCCTCTTCATAACACAGGTCCTAGAGTGACCATGCTGCTCTTCCAGAAATACAATACAGTAAACTTTGTCACTCTAGGACAGCACTACAGAACACCTCCCTCTCCATAACACAGGTCCTAGAGTGACAACGCTGCTCTACCAGACATTAAATACAGTGAACATTGTCACTCTAGGATGGCACTACAGAACACCTCCCTCTCCATAACACAGGTCCTAGAGTGACCACGCTGCTCTTCTATAGATACAATACAGTGCGGGAGTGTTGCCACTCTAGGCAAGAACTATAGAACCCCTTCTAAACACGGGTGACTGTGATGCTCTTCGATACAGGGCAGGACAAGGGGAGGGCAGAAGGGGCACATGCCCCTGATGCAGCGGCTCTGTGTGCAGGAGATCCAGCAGCTCCCTTTTCCCTGCTTGTCACTGATAGCAGAGACTGCAGTGACACTCCTGTCAGCAGAGCTTTTTTTTTTTTTTTCCATCTGGAGCACAGCAGTGCTTGGTACCGCCACCTACAGCACTAGTCCTGTGCTCATTGCTGTCACTTGTTCTACAAGCCGACAGCCAATCGTAGGTGGCAGAGGCATTCCCCGTCCCAAAACTGCATGTATGTAAACGGCCACTTATGATTGGTTGTCGGTTTTGACATCTTCCCAGGGGAATAGGTCAGGCGGGTTCAGACTTGTGTCCAAACCTACCTAGTGATTAGCTTTGTGGGGGGGGGGGGGGGGGATTGAGGAAAGACCTCTGTACTGAGAGGTGGGGATGGAGCTTTTGTAATGATGTTTCTTCCAGTGACACCACTGACATAGCATTATTCCATTTCAGTGGCACCACCAGGGGCGGACTGACAACTCATGGGGCCCCTGGGCAATAGGGGATCATGGGGCCCCTGTGTCCTTGCGCAAACTCAAAAAAGCCTATGAAAAGGTACCGGGGCATCTCATGGGGCCCCCTACTGACCCCGGGCCCTCGGGCAGTGCCCGAGTTTCTAAATGGTCAGTCCGCCCCTGGGCACCACTGACTCAGGGACTTTTTTTTTCATTTCATTGATACCAAGGCAGGAGCTTTTTTTCTTTTTTTTCTCAGTGACGCCACCAATATGCAGTCATTTTTTCCATTTAGTGACATCACAAATACAAAGCGATTTTTTTTTTTTTCCTCTTCGTGAAATCACCAACGCGGGGTCATTTTTTCCTGTCGGTGACACCATCAATGAGGGGAAAGCTGCAATATATGACCTTTTTTGTTCTTGGATTTAGACCCTTTAAAACGTCCTTCACAATACCGCATGTCCCAGCAGTTTCTACAATTTTAAAATGATTTAATCCCCTTCATACACTCACCGGCCACTTTATTAGGTCCACTTTGCTAGTCCCGGGTTGGACCCCCTTTTGCCTTCATTCTTCGTGGCATGGATTCAACAAGGTGCTGGAAACGTTCCTCAGAGATTCTGGTCCATAGTGACATGATAGCATCACGCCGTTGCTGCAGATTTGTTCGGCTGCACATCCATGATACGAATCTCCCATTCCACCACATCCCAACGGTGCTCTATTGGATGGAGATCTGGTGACTGTGGAGGCCATTGGAGTGCAGTGACCTCATTGTCATGTTCAAGAAACCAGTTGGAGATGATGTGAGCTTTGTGACATGGAGCATTATCCTGCTGGAAGGAGCCATCAGAAGATGGGGACACTGGAGTCCTAGAGGGATGGACATGGTCAGCAACAATACTCAGGTATTCCATGGCGTTTTTTAAACGATGTTCAATTAGTACTAAGGGGCCCAAAGTGTGCCAAGAAAATCTCCCCCACACCATTACACAGCCACCACCAGCCTGAACTGATGATACAAGGCAGGATGGATCCACCACACCATGACACCACCACCACCATCACCAGCCTGAACCCTTGATACAAGGCAGGATGGATCCACCACAACATGACACCACCAGCCTGGACCATTGACACAAGGCAGGATGGATCCACCACAACATGACACCACCAGCCTGAAACGTTGATACAAGGCAGGATGGATCCACCTCACCATGACACCACCACCACCAGCCTGAACCGTTGATACAAGGCAGGATGGATCCACAACACCATGACACCACCAGCCTGAACCATTGATACAAGGCAGGATGGATCCACCACACCATGACACCACCCCCACCAGCCTGAACCATTGATACAAGGCAGGATGGATCCACCACACCACCCCCCCACCAGCCTGAACCGATGATACAAGGCAGGATGGATCCACAACACCATGACACCACCAGCCTGAACCATTGATACAAGGCAGGATGGATCCACCACACCATGACACCACCACCACCAGCCTGAATAGATGATACGAAGCAGGATGGATCCACCTCACCATGACACCACCACCACCAGCCTGAACCATTGATACAAGGCAGGGTGGATCCACCACACCATGACACCACCACCAGCCTGAACCGATGATACAAGGCAGGATGGATCCACAACACCATGACACCACCAGCCTGAACCATTGATACAAGGCAGGATGGATCCACCACACCATGACACCACCACCATCAGCCTGAACCATTGATACAAGGCAGGATGGATCCACCACACCATGACACCACCACCACCAGCCTGAATAGATTATACGAAGCAGGATGGATCCACCTCACCATGACACCACCACCACCAGCCTGAACCGTTGATACAAGGCAGGATGGATCCACCACACCATGACACACCACCACCAGCCTGAACCAATGATACAAGGCAGGATGGATCCACCACACCATGACACCACTATCAGCCTGAACCATTGATACAAGGCAGGATGGATCCACCACACCATGACACCACTATCAGCCTGAACCATTGATACAAGGCAGGATGGATCCACCACACCATGACACCACTATCAGCCTGAACCATTGATACAAGGCAGGATGGATCCACCACACCATGACACCACCACCATCAGCCTGAACCATTGATACAAGGCAGGATGGATCCACCACACCATGACACCACCACCATCAGCCTGAACCATTGATACAAGGCAGGATGGATCCACCACACCATGACACCACCACCAGCCTGAACCATTGATACAAGGCAGGATGGATCCACCACACCATGACACCACCACCAGCCTGAACCATTGATACAAGGCAGGATGGATCCATGCTTTCATGTTGTTCATGCCAAATTTTGACCGTACCATCTGAATGTTGCAGCTGAAAATCCAGACTCCTCAGACCAGGCAACGTTTTTCCAATCTTCTATTGTCCAATGTTGGTGATCCTGTGCCAATTGTAGCCTTTGCTTCCTGTTCTTAGCTTACAGGAGTGGCACCCGGTGTGGTCTTCTGCTGCTGTAGCCCATCTGCTGCAAGCGTCGACTTGTTGTGTGTGCAGAGATGGGATTCTGCATACCTTGGCTGTAAGGAATGTTTATTTGAGTTACTGTTGCCTTGTTGATGTCAGAGATCAGAGGAGAATTATAGAAAGGCATTTTCCTCCACACAACCACCGCTCACTGGATATTTTCTCTTTTTCGGACCATTCTCTGTAAACTCTAGAGATGGCCGTGCATGAAAATCCCAGTAGATCAGCAGTTTTTGAAATACTAAGACCATCTGGCACCAACAACCATGCCACGTTCAAAGTCATTT